AGCGTTCTCGCTATTCCGCGTAAAACTTTTAAATTCGAAAAAATATACATGTACTGCGTAGTCGCGCATATATTATACGAATACGGTCGGAAGAATGTTAGCAAATTTCGACCGCAAAATATTTGCGACCGTAAACTCGAAAGATAGGCGGACAAAAGAGGGGCCGCGTAGAGTTTATCAAAAGACCGGACAAGTGAATTATTTCTATGCTAGATCGCGCAGTATCGTTAGTGATACGGTTGTAAATCATAATAAGTTATACTATTAAAATATGAACCAGGTCGTGTTTACAAAATTATTCTATGATTAATTGCGTGCCGCGGTAAAATCCTTAAGGCCAATCTATTAAATGGAAGTTAGTTGCACTGATTTAGTGCAGTAACATTGAAAGCCTACTGAAGTTTATAAAGGCGGTTTGAATATACAGTTAAACAACTTAAAAATTCACAAACCTTTATCGTTCGAACTTTTTTTAATAATAAGAATAATTTATGTTTTAGTTTACGTTATTTGCTCATATAAAATGTATAGTACTCAAATTTAATAACAGATTTAATGAGAACAAACATTATAGTATGTTATCTATATTTTTTCGTAGTTCTTGATCATTGATTCGTTAGCATGTAGCTGGTTGAAAAATGTCGACGACATGTACGCTATGGATTACTTTTTATTTTTTTACACACACATATCTTATAATGGATTGTTTTCGATTTAAATGATAGCGGTGGTACGAATTTTACGGAAAACTTTTGATCGTTTACGGATTTCGCGTCTCGCGTGCAAACAATTACAATATTGTCACGCAATCCGTTCAAAATCGAAACTCTAATACGTGATACGAAACTTATACTACACGTAGGCGGTGTATATATATGACAATTTCGGTGCACGTTGTCTCGTATTACGATTTCGTGAGTTTCATAAACTATATAATATAACGAATTAACATAAAATACATTAAATGCACGAGTATATATAGATCCACAATTGATTGAAGTATATACTGCACGTGGGGGCTGGAAATATTATTATCGTTGTGTAATAACGCATGATACGAACGGGTTCGAGAGCGTTAACAATATTGATAAAATATAAAAAAAACGTTCATCTCCGGTAAACGGGTCGAAAATCCGTATCATATATAATGTGAGTCTTGATCATAAAATAATGGGAATTGGACGACGCAGTCTTGTTTGTTTTATAGCGTTTAATAGTTTTTTCAATGTGGTAAAAATGGTTTATCTTTTAACAATTTACGCAATGTTTGTCTATCTCCGGATCATGATTTCTGAATTTTCATCTAAAATAAAATAATTAAATGACACGCGTTTAAGCTGCAAGTGACGACCGTATATAAAAAATAAATATATTTGAAACGGGAATAACGTAGTCAACGTGGAAGTGTATTATTTCACACCGTTGTTTAAGATGGGTCTTACTGAGGCAAAATGTCAAAATGTAAAGATCGGGATTTCGCTTTAAATGTAAATTAACATTTTATCAAATCATAAACGTATTATTCGCGAATAATGATGTATGGATAGATATACAGTGTAACAGGTAAAAACGAAATTCGTTTGGCGATTTTTTAAACGAACAATTTTTTAAAAAAATGACATGTGCAAGTAAGACAAATGACTATAATGGTTCTATGTATCCCGGTGGTTACATTTGTTCGCTAACATAGAACTGTTAGCTCGTTGCATGTAAATTTATTTATTTTACTTGTGCGTGGTTCAAATAAGTGCAAATAAAATAACGAAACGAAATTGTTACCGAATATAATATAGTCAACCTTCCCCTCTATTCACTGTATTGTTATTATTATTATTATTATTATTATTATTTTTATTACTACCCCCTATTTGCTGAACTGTGTCGAAAATAATAGTTGGCTTTCGTTTGATGGCGTCTCGCCAAATTCCAATCGTTCCGTGGTGTGTGCTGTATATTTGTGTTTGTGTACGTGTGGGCGCATATGGACACACACAGCACTTGAACCAGAACTACGGTCGGGTTCTCGATGATAATGACCCTCAAACAGAGACGATCACTTGCTAGATGTCAATTAAACGGCAAACGGTCGTGATCCGAACATTACTAGAAGTGCATACGAATCCTCACCTAACGCATGACCGTTGTTTGTATTGTTTTATTAAAAATTGGTAAAGCAAACCCATAAACAGATATCCATTGAAAATGTTGGGGGGGGGGTAGGTTTACAAGTATTTACATAAATCTAAAATGTGGACACTTCACCCCCACACCTCCTTGAGAGTTCAATTATTTACCAATTATAAACATTATATTCAAATTATATTTTATCCAAAAAACTCTATTTTTTTATTGATACTACCAAATTATACAATGCATCAAAGACAATTAACATATCAATAATCAATAATTAGATAATAACAGTAACGGATATTTTATTTTTGAAACCAGCATTCTGGAGGATTTTGAGAATACATTTAAAATATCTTCACATTCAATACTTTTGTTCAGATATTTTTCCTTATGAAAAATAGATACATTAGTAAATCGATCTTGGAGCATAAAAGTTCTCACTCATTTCTTAATTCTACGCATAGCTGAAAAATTACGTTCACACGTTGCAGAGTAAATTGGCAAAGTGAGTGTTATTTGTAACAATTTGTATAAATTGCAGTTGTATAGGTCATAATTTGTATAATGTTATAAAGAAAAAGTTCTCAATATTTGAAATGTACGATGTATATTTAAAAAAAATGTTTTTTAAAATTTGGAAAACATTTTTGAGGAGGCTTGGTGATTATCAGGGGAGCTAAGCCCGCCGGATATCTGCTAATGAGCCAACCGATTCCAATACATTTCTGGCAACAGTAATGTTATCCTTGCCTTACGGCTGGTGACACTGTCTCGCGAAACGATCATAATTATTATAAATGATTCGGTGTGCGCATACGCTATCAATTTGAATTCTACGATTCCGGTGTAGATATTGCGACGGGACCCCAATCATTTATCACTTTTATTTTTGTTATCTATTTTTATTATTATTATTAACGTTGTACGATGACCACGATATCTTTATCCTTGTTTTCCTGAGTGTATTTCACATTTCATACGAGCCACCCAGATGTATCGGACCACCGAATGCGTTCAATCACAGGTCGTGAACTGAAACGTTTAGATAGTATGACTACTGTTTAAAATCATTAATAATTTTCACTGTCCTAGTGTTTTTGAATAACTATAACATGTGTAGTACAAGAACGAACATGTAATACTATATCAACTGTATCAAAATGATTCATACCGTGAACACAGTTCATAACGTCTTGTAGTCATAAATATTTTGATTTATTTCAAATGCAAATATTTTAGTATGATATACTAAGAATCGATACGAAAAAAAAAATGTTGCCCATTAGAGAAACAAATAAATCTACCGTATGTATTTGTAGGAATAATAAAAAAATAATTCAACACTATTGCACTTTTCTTATACTAACACTAATATTATTTATCATTTATATCGTTCATTGTATAAGTGGAAGCCCGTTGTTAATATTATATTATATTTATTAACTAGCGTTTTTTTTATTATTTTACGTGATAAGTTAAAATTTAGATAATTATCGATCTTCCGTTCATATGAAATATACAGCTTTCAAAGTATAACGCGTACAATTCTCTATTCCTCAAAACTAATTCCAAACATTTCGGAAACACAATGTATTTGTGACATTTTTTTTTCTAAAATTATGATTTACTAATAAATACGGAAGACTTCTGGTATATCACATTATACACTACTCTATATTTGCTCTACGAGTACATCTAACTTGTTTATATAGTATTGATATTTTACTTTATTTATTTATTTTTTTGAACTCAAATGTAACGCATACAAAACAAAACGTGGAAATTCACGAGATTTACTTCTGTCCTATTTGTTAAGAAACGGACCGCATCTTGGGGCCGTAGGCCGCTGATGGTATCAGTGTTTATCAATATTTGTATTACGACGACACATCGTTAAAATATATCATACTTTGCAACACGCCGTGAAAACATAAAGGTCAAACAAAAATCTTATTCGATATAATATCAACTTGTGAATCAATATTTTATTTTAATAAGAAATTATTGAACAGAAGTTAAACGATACGACTTATTACGTTTCATTATATATCAAACATCAATTCCATATTTGTTGTAATTTAATACACCTTGCGGCACACTTGGACTGATCCCATGACACATCAGTTAGAAAAACACCGGTGCATAATGTAGTCGTTGCAATCGATTTGAACGGCGACGGCGGTGTTTTTTTTTTTTTTTGATATCTTACATGATTTCCCAACCAGGAAACGTACACGTTTGAAAATAATATACGAGACGCGTGTCGTTTGATTTTGAGCAGATCGCTGTTAACGAAAACGCGGGGTTCGAGCGGGGTGTGTGTGTGGCGGGTCCTCCATAGCGGAAAACTCGAAACGATATAATCGAATACGTACTCGGGTCAGCGAAAGTGTTCGGTGTGCGCAACCCGTACCGAATTGAACGACACATGACTAGACGGCGGTGCGTGCGTTCCACTCGTTTAACTGCAAGTAAACCTGTGCACAAGTACTACAGTAATAACAATAATCGTAAATACGCATAATGTAATGCAAACAGTATAAAAACGCACGGTGATTGCTTGTATCGATAAACGGTACGAGCGGTGGGAGGGTAAATTTTTACTTTTATTCGGTTTCGGTT